GAAAAGGAAGTAAGTCCACGGACTTACGTCCTTCTCTCAGAAATTATTTGGGCAAAACCGAACATAATGTTTCTCAATTGGTACTTACTTCCTTGAGAATTTCATGCAACAACGTTTCCAGACATTAATATGTAGCTCATGTTGTAGAGAATTTCCTACTGAAAATATTGATACCAATATTGCCATATTTCGAAAAACTGGACTTACTTTTCGTTACTTCCTTTTCTGAGAAAACGGCAGAATAATACCTACAAATAATGCCTGCATAGCAGTACCTCCTTTAACAGCGCAATTACCTGGAGGATACCTCTCCGTAGGGCATAGTTGGTCAGTACGCACTGTACGAACTTCAGTCTGAAAAGTTTGTGATTTTTGTCCGGGAGGTTACACTTCAGATTTAAAATATTAACACGTCCGCACAAACTAATCCCGAACTGAAAAAAGGTGCCGAACTGTACGAATTTTTTACGACTTTGGTACAAACTGACCAACTATGCCGTAGGGTGCCCTGTGAAACGAGGCTCTTCTTTACTTCAAAGATAAAAGTCTTGATATGATTGTCTATCTTTACCCTCAGCTCTCGCCCTTACACAATGCTTTTCACTGTGACGTCAAACACTCTCCACACTATCATTGCCGTATAAATTACCGCGTTTTTCCGGGTATTTATCCTGTTGTACACTAACATATTAACTACTTAGAGCAGGTCTATATACCTTCCCTTAGTTAACATTATTTCCCCTTAATTAACATTCTTAATAAGCACTCTTAATTAACACTCACTGCTGTTAGCTTGATATACCCCAATGTAATATATTTCGTGTAATTGAATAATGTCGTGTGATGTAATGGAGAGTGTAACATGGAAATGTAGGTAGGGCGACAAATACGTCAGTTACCAAATTAAGATAGGATCTAGCTGGCTGGTACAGGAAACGGAGGAGGGAAGCTTAGATTTGTGTTGAATTTGATATTATAGTAGAATTGCAATGCCTATATTGCAGTGAAGGCATTTCCGCTGTAGCAAGATAATTACTGAGCAATTAGTGAACTTGAATACTCATTACATATATCGAAATTGACGATTCATGAAAGTGCTGAACCAATACTGGGCTATTAGAGAAATAGAATAATCAATTTGACCTGACTTTCGAATTTATTTCAGTTTTCACTTGCATTTACTAAAACCACTCATTTTCATACTGTATTCGAGTGATGTAATTGGATGTAGGACGGAAGACTTAATTTATAGACAAGCTATCTCCATATCAATTAAAACTAATTTACACTAACCATAATACACATAAATCATACCTTCTAGTTAATAGGCTTAAATACCGTTCAAGTATGCTATAATGTAAAATTCCTAACCATCTGTGTTCAACGTTTTAAACAAACGATGTTTTTTATCACATACGGAATACCATTTACTCAGCCTCTTTTAATAATATTTTCACATTTTAACCCCCATATATTTAGTCACCGTACTAAACGCTTACATATAATATTAAGCGCATGAGGAGAACTCTATTAACATACAACAGAAAGCCACAGCTTCCCATGAGATTCTAGAACATTCGTCTCCCATTTTATCAGTATTTTATGTTTGTAAGTCATGATTCAGCAGTGGAGCGTGTCCGTGATATTCTCGGAATCTAATGAACTGGCTATTATGGAAAAACTTAAGATATTTCAAGAATTTTAAATGTTTCAAGAACTTCCATGCCTGCTCCGGACTTTCAAGTCAAAACAAAAGCATGTGAAGTAACAGGCTAGTTGTTTTAAATGATGTTTTTAAATACATTAGATGTTTTTCTAGTGGGAGTATTAGTAGAAATGATCTGGCATTTTTATTCCAAAACTATTAGTAGGACATGAATTTGATTTCGTTTAGGGCACAGAGTTAAACATAAATCAATTACTGGATCTTAGATCATAGTTTTCGTTTAAAAGTTTGCAAATTTTAGGTCTTACGTTCTCAGCCTTCATTCCTCAATGATAATAGTTTTTTTTATTCATAACATAATGTTTGCCGCAACTTTAACCCTTATATTTAAATCTTTAAATGATTTTCCAATAAAAGTAAGTCCAAATTATACTCTTCTGAAATATGGTTCAGTGAAAATCAGAACTTAAGCAATTTGTGAATCCCACAATTAATAGAAGATACCCACAAAATAATACCCTTTCCGGGCAAAGCTAGACCTGGTCCAATAATTATTGTTTAATGTTTTGCCACAAAATCACGAACTATCCAATTAAAGATTACACTATCGTCGCCCCGAAGTCTAAATTTAAACAGAACGTCTAAATTTAATGAGCTAGACAGTTGTTACCGATGTACAATGTTGATAGTTTAGTCACGTGGTATGACATGTGATAGTTGATGCACGCTTTTCTTTGAAAAGTTGTTAAAGTTTAGTAATTAATTCACGGTAAGGTAACCCACGGATATGTGTTTCTACAATAGTTTCATTTTATCTGAAGTTAATAAATACACCACATTATTGGAGATTTTGAAACAAAATTCTGTCTATAAGGTATTGAATAAGTAGCGAATATTGTGGTCTAAACATCAAGTAAGTGTAAAAAGGTGGTTTATTAATTACTATTCTTTGTTTAGCAGGACTAGTGGTGTAGTTTTTATACTACAAAGAATTCAACCTGAAGTTTCTGTTTCATCGTGTGTCAAGAAATTATAGAAACTGGGAACTTGTAAATAACTGAACCTCTGAACGTACGCACGTGGTAATTCACCCCAACACACCTGGTTTACACGTGACCAAACTTCTCCCTTGTAAAACTGTATTTTTGTAACACGAAACTCATTACCATTGTTACCCATGTAATTTCACAACCTAAATTTTGGGAATTTGTCGAGAAAAAATCGTTCCTGATGGTTACTGATTTCATTTCCGGGATTTTCTAATCGACTGTCTCCCTCTCTCTCTAATCGACTGTCAATAGACTAGCAAAGTGAAACTAGATTTACCAGGAACCCAATACTATACGGAACACGCCTTGCCTGAAATCAGCTATGACGGGACATGTTTCTTTAAAAATTACCCGGTTACCGTTTAGGAATATTACACCGCACGGATCTAGTACATTCCTGGAATTTGACGAATATAATAATATGTAGTCATCACACATCACGAGTTTATTTACTGATCTGGATTGTTTATAATAATCGGTTATCCAAATTCCATGATGGTTGGAAATAGTTGAGGACGGCAGTATTTATTTTACAGCAATGAGCCTCACTGTTACGATGTTCCATTTAACACACCTGGGTCCTGGTGTTATAAAAGGACCAGGACCTTTATGATACAGTCTTCTTAGCAGTGTAAGAAAACAAAGCATTCATCTAATTATATGACCAGAAATATTTGACTTTCATTAGCCCTGCAAATATTCGTCTCCTCGTAACTATGTCAAATATATATATATTTGTCGGATATATTGTCGGAGAGTACCATTACGGCGTACGCTAAGTGGTGCGAATTGTTGATTTCATTCCGTCACATTATCATTAGCTATAATACGGGACTTTATGGTGTAACATTGTCACATAATATTGGTGGCTGTGAGGACCAGTCATTTTAGAGATCTTTAGTCACGTGCTAGGTCCCAGCCAATGAGATTTGAGAAATTGCAACAACAACGTTCATGAGCCTGCTGGATCAGATGAGGAACAGGACTTGCACCCAATCAGACTCTTAGCATTTTTGTCGCACTAACCAGTAATCAATCATATTAGAGTATTCATAGTCACGTGTGAGTCCTGCTCCACTATTACCACACATACTTGAATGTGGTGGCTTGTGTAGCTGCCTGGTGTCCCACTAGAATCAGCAGCACGATACATGAAGGATCATTAATCGAGTTACACCATAATTACATTGTTTCATGTGTATTGTGTAACAATCTCTGGGATTTTTCAGTCTGACTTTGAAAGTAACCAGGATGAATCCAAATTTGGAAATGATATAAGAGCCGAGCGATGATTTCGCACTCTGTCCCCGATCTTGATATCTGGGAAGTTTGTAGACTGTAACTAAGGGCTTTTATGATAAACCACGTGTCTAGATTTTAGTCACGTGACCTGAATAATCTTATCTGATTGGACAGACTAAAGTTTCTCTGAGTTCGTGGGTGGATTCCTCTATGAACTCCTGCAATTGCGACCAAAACTATGTAAGTTTTGTAAGAACGTAAATGATTCTGACAAGCACAATCTAACAATAGAGTGGAGCTGTGAACTGTGAAGTTATCATTTGTAATTTCGCGGAATTTCGGAAGAATATGAAGGAGTTGAGAAGTTGAAATACCTTAGATACTGCACGTGTTGGCTGGTTACAGTGGGGGTTACTGGGAAGCAATAAATCTAACAAATAGAAGCTGGTACCTGGTTTTAACGAACCTCTCGTCCTACACCCATTCAACAAATCTAGACATGTTTACTTTACCTGCTAATCTAGACATGTTCTCTATTTCAATCATGCAACTCTCTGTAATGATGATCCTGGTGTAGACTTACTTAGCTGCGAACTGAACAAAGCTGAATGTCATGAACATCATCAAATGAGTACATAAGGGCGTGGCTCTGATTGATTGCGGAGGGGATGCTCGCGGAGGAATTGATCACGAGAGAACTTGTGGGGTACAATGAGGGGTCACACATCTAACATACTGATACAGATCCGTGATGATTTTAGGACAGGACATATTATGACACTGCCATGATATGGCTATATTTAGAACTGTGGTTAAAGGTTGCAGAATTGAGCATATTATGTAACCATTACACAAATTAGCAGATACTTAACATGATACAAATGGAGTTAAATTTAGGCAACAAAAGGTTCCCCAAACCACCCCCAATTTTCACTCAATATAGCTTCCAGTAACACTTCCAGGAACACTTCTAGTAACACTTCCAGTAACACTTCTAGTAACACTTCTAGTAACACGCAGACTAACATATCCTATAACCCCAGGTAGCACTACCAATAGAGGAGGAAGCGGTTAAAGACGGGGCTATGGACGAGGTTATTGCCATGTTCAAGCAACCATGGGTTATAGCGCTAGTTGGAGCCCTTCTTCTTATCCTAATCGTCATGATCAGGTCAGTTAAACACTGTTACAGTGTTACGTGTTAACACTTTGTGTAACACTCTGTAACACTCTGTGTGACACTCCGTCACGTGACTATCACGTGACAGTTATATGAATTGTGGTGTATTACTAAAAAATAAGCTGTCTCGTGCGTATGTCTGCATTATGCTGATCATTTATAAGTTAGCCAATGTGCACTGTGCACTGTGCACTGTGCAGTATAATAGATAATAAGCAGTAAGCAGAAAATCAAGTTTTGTGGCCTGGAGAGAAAGTCTGATGACAAATACCACGTTTATATACAAGTTGTGAAGCTAACGACGCCGTTATGCCGTTAGCTTCTTTATTGGCTACACTGTACTGATTTCGGAGAGGTCTAATCTAATTCACAGTACATCAATCTAACACTGAAATATCAATGGAATGTTGTGCGGTATGTAATTAATCCCTTGTTTTTATAAAACACCTTAGGAAATTATTTCAAGAGTTAACACTCAATTTTAGATTTTGTTAGTTTCACTGTACATTCAAGAGCGGAAAATATACATCAGCTGCCCTTAGGTGGCACAAATCTTAAGCTTGATGAATAAACTTCATACAAAAATGTGTAACTTGAATCCCAATGTAATATCGGGAATCCAATCAGTGGATGAATATTAAATTTTAAAAAAACACGTACATAATATTGACCCTCTGGTATGTAGAAAGTATGTACTGGCAGGGTAACAGGGTTAATTGATTAGGTATGCCGTATGTGAGTGTTAACTGCTAATGGTGTTATAATGTGTAACTAGTAGCTGTTGCCATGTGTGTACTTCGGTGTACTTTTGAAATATGCAGTGAAGAAGTTGACCCTCAAGTAGAATATTTATTGTTAAATTGATTGAATAATTGATTGAATAATTGATCTAATTTGTTTCAAATTGAAGCTTTCAAAATCGCGCATATAAATTCTGCAACTATATTTGGGTAATTTTTCATTTTAAATGTGAGGAATTTAAGAATGATACTTAAGAATAATCTAACCTTATTACGCGGTTTTAAAAATTCCAGAAATTAAAACCAGCTATTTAAAAAAATCCAAGGAGGTAGTAGCTTGACTCGTGAAATCCCATCAACCTCTCGTACAGACGCGACGTTCGCCTCACTTCCCAACTTGAAAAGTTATCAACATTTCTACTTCAAACGGAAAAGCCCTTAAAATACTAAGTGGATTCCTAAATGTTCGTCCTCCGCAAGCAATTTATGCAGTTTGATTCCCATATCCAGATCACCATTTTCCAACCGATCCAAGTGAACGCTATCCCCAGCTTCACAATCCATTAAGCTAAATATTAAATAAAATGCTTCTTTCCGTCCTCCCCGTTTGGAAATAATGATAACACTCTTTTATAGAGGTGGCTATTAAAATACACACTACTTTCACACGCAGCAAGTCTAGACATTGTCTATTTCCCTGCAGTTCATGGAACGTTACATAAAACATTGATAAAGCATTTAAATGTTATTAGGGGATTAAATATGTGGAAAATTATCGTTTAAAGTGTGGGATGTGGAACAGAATGGTGCAGATTCGCTTTGATGTTTCCCTTAGTCATGGAAAATAGACTGCCGTGACTTTTAATAAGGTTTCATCAGAAGGATAGAGTTTTGCATTGGAGTTGTTAAGATGTTATTGTATTCTACGCGGTTCTGTAATAACACTTATAATTACCTTATGTAATTGTAATAATATATATAATTACAGTGAAGTTTTTACCTTCAGATTTTAATTTTTGGAAAGATTAGACTCGGGCGTTGTTTTTAATCTCCTTTGTTCAGAATGTTTATATTTCAATATTATAAAAGCGTTAACTGTGTTAACAACTTTAATTATATTTCAGTATAATCGCGTGTCGTCAACAGAAAATAAAGCGACGTAAGTTGGAACAACAGCAACACACGCCCTTCCTTAATTCCTACCACAGGTCAGTTATTTGAACAACTTGACTTTATTTAAACTTTTGTTCTAGCACTTAATCGGTACTAAGCTAGCACCAAATTGACATTGTGACACGCTCTTTAATTTTTATATTGTGATATTTCACAGGCATGCTGGCATGCATTCCTTTGTTTTCCCAAACAGTTAAATTATTGTCTGAGTTTGTTACAGTATGATATCAACAGACCTTCTGAGATGTCTGTTTAAGCCATGATTAATATTTTATAAATAAGTAAAGTTAATGAAGTGAACAATATTTAATAAAGTTAGTAAGAGTAGATATTAGATAAGGGGTTGTCAAGGTGATACTGATAGCATGCTCGTCTAGTGATATTCTTTCATCTTTAAGAGAGACGATTTTACGTTTTGCAATTATTATGAATTATGATTCAATCATCTTATTTACCTTGTTATCAGTGTTAACTCATTATAAATGTTGATTGTGAATCTTTTAACCTTGACCAGAAATGGTCTCACGATGAATTGTAGCTCAATTCAGCCTGATGGGAATTCCACGATCATAAAGATATTTCAACATTCTCTGGAAAAAAAAACGAATGGGATTTTTATATTCTTGAAAAACGCATGTTCCTCTTTTTATCCTTCTCTCTTGCCCGCAGCAATTCAGTAAAAAGTTCAATGAATGGACAACAATACAGGATGAGAGACGACGGTCCTCAGTACGAGAAGATCCCTGATAGTCGCAACACAACACCACATGTAAGTCTACCATTGGTCGGTCTGTGTCACGTGATATCCGTTCTATGCTATCATTCGTTAATTCGTGTCACGTGATTTTTGTTCCTTGTCCTTATTAGTCCATGTTTATCGGCGTGATTATCGTCCTTTGTTCTGATTGGCTCTTAACACACCCATGATTTAAATGTCTTTTTGAACCCAGCGGCTGATCATAAAAACTCCTCCTTAAAATGTCAACATTTATAAATGTTACTCCTTTATAATGTTACTCCTCTCTACCTTTCATTAAAATTCTTTGCTTTGTATACTGTCACGTGTGTGTCGCTCTCACCTGTGATTGGTCACTCAATGTCTCGTTCTATCTAGTGATTGGCTACATTATGCTTCCTCTTCACTTACAAACGTCTGACATTTCCATGAAAACCAGCACGTCGACAGCAATCATCGAGTGATCTCGAGAACCATTCAGGGAGATATTTTACTGTATAAAATATAACGTGTACTAACTAACAGCGAGGAGTCTGTAAATTTACCAAATATTAGAAAGTGAGTACTCGTTACAAAATATTTAAGTATTTTACGCCCTGTAAATAAAAAGTGTGTTGCGAATGTCGACTGGAGAGTGGTGTGCTGTGTGGCTGGCTGGCTGGGAGGTTATGAAATATGTATTATTATTTAAAGTTAATCTAATTTGGTGGACGTTAAGACTAAAGTACACGTCATATGCTTATCATCGATTTCTAGACCTTGAACACTCGGCCTTCTAATGAGTGTTCAGCAAAAATATTCCTGGTAGCTTAATTATTTGCATAGCAGAAATAATGTGAATAATTATAAGAATAATGTGAATTATACTCAGAATGGAATAGTGGATGTGTGCTCTGATCCTTTTTCTGTCAACTTCATTAAGTTATAAAATCTAAATATATAATATTGGTTTAGAGATCGTAATATTACTGCATACCTGCATAGTGCATACCTTGGATATTAGAAATATTATTTAATATTTGTTGCGCGTGTGAAACAAGTGTAAGTTCCATTACTTGCTGTAATTATCGAGGCGCACATCCTGAGAGTGGCGACGATTTTGATGACTACTTTTTTGTTATTTAATTTATGTGGCATGCGCGAAAGCTGTACTCAGAAGCATTGGTGAGTAAGAAATTACAAATTAATGGATATCAGAGTGAAACCAATTAACCAACCATTAATTACAATTAACACTCAATTAACCAGCCATTAATTACAATTAACACTCAATGAAACACCGTAAATTATCACGTTCACAGTTAAACAATAATTATACAATCCTGTTAAAATTGTGATCATGAACGGAAATATGATCGCCCTGTTTTCCAGGAAAGTGAAAGCCCTTATTATTCAGTTATCCCAAATATCCCGGTAAGTTGGTATGTCAAAAATGCCAAACTTCTTTGCATGACCGCTCTTAAGTTTTCTTTTAGTTTCAAAGGAAACATCCTTTTTTTTGCAGGTGTGATAGATATTGCTAGGTGTAAAATCCACACAAATATGTCAAAAATTTCAAACATGCCAAACATACTTCACGCTGTTGTGATTGTTTTCAACGAGTTCCAACATGTTTATTGTGGATGGTTTTCACATAAATTCACCTTAATACTTCACAGTAAACTTCAAATGGGGACTAATTGAATGACTTTACCAGTACAAACAGTCCAGGGCACGACTAGACAAACACAACCAATATTCATCAAACAATGGTATTTCTTCTAAATACCTAACCTTCCCAACATTTCATACCTCGGCTTGATAAAAGTCCCGCATCCGTCCAATTTGCAACATCATCTTCCAGACACCGCTGTAAAACTGCGAGAGTTCACTTGCGGTATTGTTATTAAAATGATTAATTAAGTCATTACATTATTAGAACATTCTGCAAGTGAAACAGACAGCGGAGTCATTTGCTCAAACGGACTACACACATCGAACAGTGAACACCACACATTTAGGAACATGACAACTTTACACTGACAGCTTTTTAACTGCCGACCACATTTCCCATTAAATGAGGAAAATGTTTCCGGTCGAGCAAGAAGTAACCGGAAGCCTCTGCCGGAGTGTCGGCCAATATTTTGACAGCTCACCATTACTTGTTACACGACCGTTTAGAGATATTGTTCAATTAGAACAGATCGTCTGGTGCATTTAAAATTTATGATTATCCTAATTTGATGGATCATCTGCTCAAGAGCCAGTTTACAAGTTAAAAGGATTTTAAGTAAAATACCCCTGCTTTTAGCAGCACCACAATGTTACAACAAAGTCCTGTACACCTTCCAGCCACTCTCGAGAGAGAGTATAATACCCCTTTATAAATCTCGCACCTTTAAAAGGAACATACAGATTGAGAGCTCTCTTCCTTGCCGATCAAATCCCCAATCTAATGTTCAATATTTAACCTCTTTTTCGGTCAACATGTCCGCCTCAAAAACACCATATCCACCACAATTAGTTACCTTATGTGGGGGTACTAATTCTGATACTCGCTTCTCCTAATGTCATCATACATCAAATTATAAAAGAGGGTTCCATCTTCTGATAATCTGAAAATTAGGTTAGGTTCTGCCGATATTTTCCCTAAATTAGCGCTAATTATTCCCAATATTGCCGGCTAATCATTTGTAATGTACCGCCCGCTTATCAGCACTTGAATGGTTACTTATTGCACAGTTACTTCAAACCTTGAAAATTCTGGTAGATTGCAATCAACAGAACCGTAGATTTAATTTGTAAATCCAAAATTTCCATAAAGACAGAAATTGTCTCACTCCATACCAACAATAACGGGATATAAGTTACTTGATACCCTAAAACCTCCCTCCCTCAATAAAAGGGCGGAGAAACAACGGTGAAATTAAAGATTTACGTTTTAACGATATCAATAATCCAGTTAGGAAGGTGATGTAATCTTGTAGTACTGCTAAATTACATATTATTACCCCCCTGTAATACAATCATAGGGAAAGTGTGTTTTACAATGGGTGACCAAAGTAAACGAGAGTGACGTGATGGTGTGTGTGTGTGTGTAAAGAATGAGTGTGAAGAATAAAGAAATTCCTATATTGAACTATGGTTACATCATTTCTCTGTGAGGGCGTGATTATTTTCTAAAACGAGAGATTCTGTAGCCATGGACATGTTCAGACATTTGACGGCTTGTGAGTGTGAGTTTGCAAGTTAAGTAAGGTAACAGGGTGTGTATGTTCCCTAGCGAGAGGGTGAGTGTGACGTCATGACGTCATACCACGTGACAGGGGAGTGTGTGTGTTGTCTGCTGAAAGTGACATGCTAACTTTAACTCGACGCGGAGCAGGGAGAGAAACGTGTACAATTAACAAAAAGGAGAGGTTTGTTAGAGCTGTTAACAAACTGTCAGCACTGTCATAACCATGAGTGTGACGTCACACACCTCGTGACATGACGTCACACACCACCTGTCATGACGTCACACCACTGCTTCTCCCAGGATTCAGGTATTGCCATCCCACCTCCCATTCCAGCCCGGAACACCCTCCGTCGGCAATCCAGCGAGACAATCGACTCTACCGTAACGTGTCCTGACTACTCAGAGATACAGTCGGACCACGAGTATGCTAACAACAACGAGCGGTTGGTATCCAGCAGTACCCTGCCCAGGAGGGAGAAGATGCTACACGACAAGGTGGTCCGGGACAACATGATACATGAAAAAGTGGTGAGATTAACTGGTGCATGAAGGGGTGTGTGACGTCACGTTATTCTTGAGGTGACGTCACGCTAGGCGCGTGATGACGTCACGAGGTGGCGCGTGATCACGTGACTGGATATATAGGAATGGTTGCTTCAAAGATGTCTCATTGCGTCTGATACCCATGAGATGATTCTGATTAAGTTCCTGTTGCGGATGACACTGCTTGTGATGACTCTGCTTCATCTCTCTGTCTCTATTTTCAAGGAAGTGAAGAAATCAATCTATCAGATCTTCACTGCCTCAAAGAATCAAACCTTTGCAATCTCACACTTTACAGTCGTTGGTTCAATACGTGTAGTTACACGCCAATTACATGTCACAATAATATGTCACAATAAAGCATAATTATTCATGTTCAAACTTTCTATGTTCGACTATACTTCACCCAGTCGCCGTCTTGCTATGCATGAATTCTGCGGATATGATGACCTCATCTTACTTCATTCACGCTTAGCTTAGTTTATCGTTATTTTTAATGATTATGCAGGATTAAAACGTTATACTAGATGCATCGGTGTTTTTAACACTAATAGCAGTTGAAGATGTTAAAACCGCGGACAGACGGGAACTAACACTTCCCACTTAATAAGAGTACCTATAAGATGGTTCAGGCCCTGAGCTATGTCATGGTATAATACCCCTCTTTACTTCAGGGTTGGATAACATGGAACTGTTACTTCCCTTCCGAGCTCCGGAAAACGGAGTGGTTAAAAAGAGCATGTTTTGAAATTTGACGGTCAAATTCGGTCCAATACACGGGTAATCTTTAATTGAGTTATAATACGTCACACACCTCGTGATATTGACGTCACACACCACGTGTCATGACGTCACACACCACGTTACATGACGTCACACACCACTAATACTCAGTAGTCAGTACGTGGCTACTGGCTATGTGGCTCGTATTATAACTGTATAATACCCAATAATATGCCAGCATAATCATTAACCTGTCAGAGAGAAAGTCATTATTGTTTACATTTAAAGTGTTTCCGGACTATTCCATGTCCGGAGCTTGTATAAACAATAGCAGGTACAGTGTATAACAGTCACCCTGTACCAACTCACTCTGATATATCGTGTATAATGTCGTGTATTATAAACACTGTAGAGGTGGAATTTGAAGTATTCTTCTCGTGATAAAATACCTTGAAAGGTTTCTTAATCAGGTGACAGTTAGTTTCACACGTGCCTGGATTTTCTCAAGTGAATTTATTGTAACTAAAGCAATTTCACACTTGTTGACATGTTTCTAAGAATATAATGAAACTATAGAAATTATCACTGAGCTCTCAGTCAACAGTAGGAAGCCAAGTTTACTGTAGTTTCAGTGCCATATATTGTTTTTGGAAATGGTGACGTGATGAACCGTTATCGAATACTTCAGTTGCACTTTTTAACCTTCACTTATTTATGGATATTTCCAAAATACAGGGTAGAGTTTAATGGAAAATTATTTAAATCAAGTACTTTAATACATGAAGATTAGAATATGCGTTATGATACAATGATCTTTTTACAACTGTATCCGATTGCAATAACTTATTCAATAAACAAGCATAACAAAATTCAATGAGATTATCCCTCTTACAGACTAATCACATCAATAAAGTCATCAGTAAAACTGTTACTTTTTAATGTCTCTGTGTTCAATATATTATTATCCATTATCCATAATCATCTTCAAAGGTCAGCCCGTGGCTTTAATCATTGTGAAAACTTGACGAGGAAAATTATTGTGGTTACACTTGCTTGAGCTGAACGGTGAAACAAGTGATAATCCACGATCTTATAAATGGTGCCCTGCTTGACAAGCTATTGATCAATTCAGTATTGTTTTCAAATGAAATCTATTGAGAGCGAGAATTTAGCAGTGCGTGATTGTGCATAATATATGAGTTTAATGAGAGAAATTCTCCAAAATCTGCAAACTACTACAGCTGTAGAAGTGTAAATTAGGCCAGCCCAGAATGCAGAACAGTTATCATAGCCCAGTACACAGTTTACACCTCAGCAATATTTGCTATGTAATCGTGAATAGCAAGCTGACGATAACAAGCGCGTGTTATCACACTGCGTGTGATGGTTGTAAGGGGGGGGGGGCGGGGGATCATGTTTTTTGTATATTTTTGTCCAACTGGTACCCTATCTTTTCAACTTGAACAAAAAATAGGATGAAAAAAAAGCGGTACCCTATTTTTTGAGGTTTGACAAAATGGTATGGAAAAAATGGACAAAAAAACATGATCCCAGGCTCCCCCTTAGTAAGTAAATTAAGTAAAATTACTCCTGTTTCCAATTCTAACTCTCAATTTGTGTATCAGCACGCTGATAACACTAATGCAGCGTTATGATGCTGCATAATGATATATAGTGTGGTCAGCCGATCGTAAGGAGAAAATCTTAATAGTTTTCTAATAACATGATTAAGCGACCACAATTAATTGCAATAATCCCGCTGACATTATACAATAATCGTACTCTATAATTGAGCCTAACTAAGTTGACACTTCTTCAATGTTACAAGAATACAGTAACTAAGTAAATAAGCTACATTAGTATTACAGTGTAGTTACTGACTACTAACATTACATGAGAACTCATCCTAACCAACCAATCAGAGCACTCCGTTTATGAGTGAGCTCTCAGTTTTCAAGTAAACTAGCCAGTAATAAAGCCTGTACACGCAGATGTGGAGATCATGAGTAATTGTTACCTCCTCTTCAAATACTTAGTTACCAATCTCAATACTAGTTGCTTATCTTGATAATTGACTAATGACTATACATCTAACTGTAGTTACTGTAGAATAATGGTGTACTCATCAAGATCATGAGCTGAATCGTGACAATTATGTAGATTTATGAGGAATATTGAATTACATTTGTTTAATACTTACGATATTTAATGCTTATATGCGTACTGTATTTAGTGGTTGCGCATAATAAATTGAAGATTTGGCCGAAATACACGTCTTGATTCGTTGAGAAGGATCCTAAAAGTATCACGTGTTACAGTATAATAAGTAATAACACCGTGTTATTATAACACGTGCTACAGTGAATCACTGATTTGACCGAGCATAGAAGGTCACTTAAACGGACTGCTAATTAGATACCTGCACAGAATTGTAAAACTATAAAACCACTCCCATTAAACAGGGGCCTCCTTCACCTTTTAAATAACACCAACCAATCAAAACTCTCCATTCCAACCACGTGCGTTAAACCAACCAATCAGTGCACAGTATCCGGGTCCAATCCACCAATTATAACACAGAGTTACCTTGACAGGTCCACATTTCCTCTAAGTTTATAGTGTAAACGACACGTGATTCACACGCACCAATCAGCGACCAGGATTTATTCCACCGACCAATGAGAGGGCCGGAAATGTGTCACGTGTTTTGGGGAAATGCGCCTGTGAATTGCCCGGTGACGTTGTTGTATAACTATGTTGTATTATATATCAATTGGAGAAGAGAAGTAATGTTAACTGCAACACGTTGTATAATATCTTGTGTATAGGCCACAGTGGTATAATGATGACACAGATCTTGCTACACAAAACTTAAGAGGAAATACAGCATTCGAATCATGTGACATAATAGAAGTATGATATTTTATGTGGGAAATATTAAACACAAAATATCATATTTTTGTATTACAATATATATTATGTCAAAATATAATAATATTGTATCATAATACGTTGACAGGTCGTGGAATAATATAATTCTAGAGATTTCTTTATCAGTAAGTTTAAACATTAAGTTTAGAACATTCTGCCTTGTCACACAACATGGCACACATGTCAAGAAGGCTGGATTGAAAGCTGTTGCCTGGTTATATCGGCTAGAATTTGTAAAATTAACTTCGAACAAACTCAGATATCCATCGTACGACATAGAAGTATCTAGGCGAGATTTTCCAGTTGAACAATTATTTTCTGGGCTTTATCCAACAAGAGGGGCCGGGCCGGTGGTGGTATATTAGGTTCTGATCAAAGAGCTCAAAATCACGTTTTTGGCTGATAACTGAATTACAAGCATCAAAAAACCAACTCCCTCCGGCCTTCAGGCATAATGGAGTAATTATATCTGCGAACCTAGAGCCTCCCACTAACAAGGTAATAGAATAATTGGACATCGTTAATTACTGCAATTGTATCCAGTCTAGAACGATCTGAATCTTCAGACTACAATCAGCTGTTAATCAGCAGATCTTATAATGTGACCAGTTATGTGACCAGTTATGTGACCACTGACCTCCTGCATACCATCAGACCACAAGATACAGAGAAAGATATAAATAGATAATAATTAACATATTATGATACATATTGTAAGTGTATGTGACTAATTAGGTAATAAATTGACGTGATTATAATTAAGATACTGGCTCTCCTACTGTTTCTCGTCATTAGAGAACACTGATGATATTAGAGCACTACCCGCACGTGTCATGATGTGCCGCGCACGTGTTAAGTGCCGGTCAGTAATATTAACATACTTTAGATACACTTTATCACTCGTACAACGTGTAATTCGTTACTGAACTTTTAACCTTCTGTGATAAGAGGACGAAACGTGTTAAAGTTTCACCGTCAACCAGGCACCAGGATTGTATACACCTGTGTTTGGACTGTACTGTGAGTGATTTTATAACAAAACACCGGAAATAAATTTCGTCAGAAAAGCGAGTATTTTATTCGTATCTATTATTACTTTTATCAATCAAGCAATGCAAACCCTATTATTATATACACCTGTACAAGGTTCAGTGAACTGTAAAGTATTTTAATGCCTGGTTTAACGCGAGGTATTTTAATTCTGGGTACCAGGAAATTAGAAGGAACGGAGAAAGGACCGTTAGTCCTGCTAATAGATAATTCACAGTGATGTCGGGGGCTCAAGTTTCAGATATTAACTGATGAGTTGCTTTCTTCTTTTCAAGAAATTA